TAGTATCTTCTAATAATTATCCTAGTTAATTAAGTTTATATAAAATATTAATATATCTTAAAACTAACTCTTATAAGAATCTATAAACTTTACTTATTTTAAAGTATTAAGTTTAACTATAAAATATAAAACTTATATTATTTAACTNTTTAACTAATATTAAGGAGTTAACTAAACCTAATTACTATAAATCTAATTTAAATTTAAAACCTTAAAATTAAGTTACTAGTTTTTTTAATCTAAATCTATATAATCTAGAAGTAACTAAACTACTAAACTATATAACTTAAATTTATATTAAAGTTACTTTAAAGTTAATAAGGGTTTTATATTATAATTAATATATAACTAAAGGTTAGAAATTAGAAGTATTTTAAAAAGTAAAATAGAATAATAAAATTAATATAAAAAAAAAGGTATAAAAGAGATAACTAGGAATAAAATTAATAATTATATAATTAATCTAATTATTACTTTAGGATAGGAATAGTTTTATAAAATATAAGAGGTATTAGCTAAAAGGGGGGTATAAGATAGTAATTAACTAGACTTAAGTCTAAGGCCTAAACCCTAGCCTAAATCCCACCTTTATATAAGGGATTAGCTATACTACTTTATAGCTAGGCGCGCCTAGTACTTATAGCTAGATTAATCAAGCCACTTCACGCAGCAGGCATTTAAGCTTAATGTTTTACCTGCATATAACGAGCGCAAATCTACCTCCATCATGCTTAGTAAGTTCACATCATTAACACTAGGTAGTCTTTATCATCATAGAGAACAATACTTACGAACAAGACTAAGTTGGCACCAATCATTATCAAATGCATGAGCTGCTATATTAATGTTAAGATTGGAGGGGTGTCTCTGTTTATTGCGTGACCGTCTGATTGCATAGAGACGAGTCGCGACTGAATCACCCAGTCTTCCTTGATGAAGCTCAACAAGCACAGCCACATCTGTCGATCGACTACTTAGTAAGTCTGCATCGTTCGACATGTGTGGCGCTTGGTGTGGCTGAGCGCTCAACCCAAGGGAGAGTTGCCCTCTATCCTATCGGGCGAAATCATCGTCACTGATTATGCGCCAAACGTCCCTAAGTCACCGATTTTCAGGGTCCGTTCTGGCCAAGTGCGATGGTGTGAATCGGAAGCAGCCAGCGAGTGCTTCGCCCATAGCGTGTGGCCCAATGCGGCTTCGATCAGCATTCTTGAGCTCCAGCACTTCTCTCCGTTTTCCTGTTTTCTACAAATTTCAACACCATTTTCCTCTAAAATTCTGGACGGCTTCTGGATTCGCCAACCGTCAATGTGGCTGCCTACCCCGCGTGCCACAGGCAGTTTACGGTAGACGCTAGCTAGGATGGCTGATCTCGCTTGGCAGTAAGACTGATGACATCAACGGTCGATCCCGCCTGTCTAATGCCTGCTGGGCAGTTCATCCTGCTCAACAGCCGGCCAGACTAAAAGGCTTGGGAGCAAGGCAGCCACTCGTATCCCCCGAAACGGATGAGTTCGGTTGCTGCTGTGCCACGAACGATGTCATTCATCGCGCACTTGTCTGGTACTAACTGAGGCGGTGATGCTACCTGGGGAGATCCTGACGGCCTGACATGACGGCTATGACGCTCAGTCACGCTAGGAAGTGCTGTCCTAATGGGAAAGATAAAGCGCTCAACGTCCTGGCATCAGTTTGAGACGAAAGAAGATCACTGCCGTTGCATCAGCAGACATCAAAACACAATTTACACATCAAGTTCTTCATTATTGAACCTCCATTATCAACCTCTGATAGACCCAAAGTACTGTCGATCAACATGCCTTCTCTCCCCATCGAAGCTCGCGAAGTAGCTCTCGACCTCGTTGCTCGCGTGACAAGCAGCAGAGTCGGCTCGTCCGGTAGCCGCGTTCGTACGGGCGCCCGCGTCATCGGCGGCGGCATCATCGCCGCGATTGTCATCGGGGCTGTTGTCGGCATTGCGTTAATAATCCTCGCCTTCTGTCTCTTCCGTCGCCACAAGAGGCAGCGCGCCAACCACAGCAAGGAGATGCAAAAGTACTACGGGGACAACCGCTCCAGCATGGGCTCCAGCAACTACAACCCGAACAACACCAACCCCCAGGGTGGTCACAACTACGGGCAAGGTTACGGACAACAGCAAGGTTACGGATATGCGCACACTGCTGCACCTGGCCAGTACGGATACGGTGCCCCGAATAACGGAGGTGTTTCGGGCATGCCACCGGCGCACACTGCAGATCACGTTACGACAAAATAAGGGAACGATGTGGAAGACGTGGAGGTGGAATGTACAAAATTGTAACAATATTGTAACAACACTACGATGAACTTAATGAAATTAGATACCATTTCATATGATGATCAATATGATGCATCCTACTTGCGGTCTTCTATGGTGGGTATTAGTGGGCTAACCTCTTTGATGCACATCATGTTATGTACTGGCCGCGTCGGAGAGTCCCCGCATGAGGCCTGTTCGAGTCTCCTCGCATGGTTCTTCGTCTTGACGTCGTCTTCAGGCAATCTTGGTGACGTCCAATCTCACTAAACGTTCAGTTCCACCTTTTACTTCTGCGTACAAGCTTTGGACACTTATCAACTGGCGCGTCACGCGACTATGGTCAAGCTCATTGCTTCGGCTCGGCAGTTTTCTCTACCATAGAGCCAGGGGCAGTGGCATCAATGAACGCAGTCCATATGACGGAAATAAAATAATTCGATATGAATGGCTTGGATGTTTCTACTACTTATGCCCTAGTTGCCTGCAAAGATGTTTCCTAGCTTCACCAGCTCCTCCCATCTTCCGTCTGCCTGAACTTCGATCTTTCCCTCCGGAGTCATCACCTTTATTTGATCAACTGAGGTGGTGCCGAACTCATAGCTCTTGTCATCGTTGACGAAGGCAACCAATATGCCGATCCAATCCTCCATCAGCTGTCTTTCAGCTGGCGTTGGTCCGTGGCAGATGGCAAAGCTGTTACGTAGAGTCAAAGTCAGCTCCATTCCCTTACAAAACTTGGGTGTTCCTCAAATCAGGGGTAGCTCTCACTTCCAAATTGGCCTGTCCATCGCATGCGCAACACCAAACGATGCCGGTGCCACCTTCTCATCGATGAAAGACAACCGATATGCGATGTGGTATCGCCACACGTCCTGCAGGCTGACGCCGTTATCGACTAGTGCTTTGGCCAGAGCTCGAGACGGTGCGCGCACTTGGCCGTCAGACACAATGTTTCCTAGAATCATCGACATGAGCAAGTTTTCTACAACTTCAGGCTCTGAGTGGCCTACCAAAAGTCTTTTGCCAATCTTCCAGCTTGTCCGACTCCGGTAACTTGTATTGCTGGATGGCTCGATCGGTGACATCGGGGGCATAGTAATTCGATACCTGTAGCCTGAGGGCATCCAAGGTCGGCTCGGTCGGGGCATTGTATGAAGAGTACAACGTCTCTTCGTTTCGCACTTCTCCAATCAAGATCTTGTATCCTCTGTTCTTGAACTCGTCGGCGAACTCCTTGCTTTGCAGGTACTCGATCATCCCCGAATGCACAAAGATATCGTCCGTCACGGGTCGGAATGTGTGGTTCTTCAAATGGGGGACTGCCTTGATGAGATCTTCCCAGCTGATGTCGCGCAAGGCTGAGAGCTTTTCGGATCCTGGTAGGCTCTTTTCAATCTTGAAGTATTCGCAAAGCTCGTCGAACTGCCCTTGGACATCTGCCAAGGACTTGGGCTGCGCAGGAATCGCGTTGGAGTCCATGAAAATGCGGCGGTACAGCGAGGACTTGTCGCCAGATTTACGGAAGTCGTATAGCATCTGCGCCTCAGCACTGTATGCACCGGCGCTGCGGCCGGCAAGAGTGATGTTGTCAGGGTCACCGCCAAAGTACGTGATGTTATCTCGCACCCACTCGGCTGCGACCCGCTGATCCCAGAGGCCAAAATTCCCGCCTGCCTCGCCGCCGCTCTCTCGGAGAAGGTCCTCGCCGGCAAGGAAGCCGAAGACATTAAGTCGGTACCCGATGGCCACGACGATTGCGTTGAGCCCGCCCGTCGTGATGAGCTCGGTCGCATCCATGCCAGGCTCCTGGGACGGGTCGCCCATCTGAAACCAGCCGCCATGGATCCAAAGCTTCACCGGCCACTTCTTGTCCTCCTCGCCATCCTTGCGCACCGGAGTCCAGATGTTGACAAACAGACAGTCTTCGCTGTGCGTAGCACCCTGGCCGTCAGGTTTTACGACGTGGAAGGCCTTCTGGGGACACACGGCCTTGAATTTCGTCGCATCGTATGCGCCGTCTCCGTCGTCGCTGTACGAATATGAACTCGGCAGTGGTCGAGGTTTGCGCCATCTGTGCTCGCCGGTCGGAGGAAGCGCATAGGGAACGCCCGTGAAACGGCGGGACTTATCGTCGAACTGAAGGCCGCGGATCTTGCCCTTGTCCCCTAAGCTCAGCTCAACCGGCGTTTGCTGGTACGAAATGTTGTTGCCCATCTTGGTCAGGAAATATTCTGTTTGGTTTCCGACGCTGTTCACAAAAGCGTCACCAGCGCCCGAATTTTAGTTAGCGAACGGAAGCTCGATCTGATGTCGTGATGATATCGCTTTACTCGTCATCGGCCACAGATCTAGTCTCCGAGGGTCCGACATCCGTCCCGCTGCGGGGCCGATAGCGGCAGCAGGTGCGCTATCGCCCGCGGGGCCTGCTGATAAGACGTCTTCTTCGGTCGGATCTCCGGCCGAAGCCATCTTGTCTAAGCCCTTTCAGGATGTTGACCAGACAAATTGCAATGACTTCCGTAAAGACAAAATGGAAACTGGTGACATGGAGATTAGATAAGAGGCCATAGATCATGAGTGCAGCGCCGGTGTTCCTCAGCTGTACGAACATACTCTGTCGCCGAGTAATTAATAGTTGTCTTCAGGCAAAGCGTTTCGCACCACCGTCTATCAAGCAATCCTCTCTCACACGGGCAAAATGGGCAGCATCGACCGATTCCCTTCCAACGTGGACCTATCCCACCACATCAATGCCAAGAGCAAAGCCCGCCATCCCTCGCCGTTGAAAGACATCATCAAGTTCATGGGCTACGATGGCATGATTAGTTTTGCTGGAGGTATTTCAAATTCGTACCGAAGCTCTTGATAACCTGATGCTGAAAAAGATCCGTAGGACTCCCGCACCCATCTCTTTTTCCGCTTGAAGAGGCCAAGTTCAGCTGTTTGACTCCAGAAGCGTCCCTCGCCGGAGACCGCAAGGTGGGGGCCGAGAACCCGGACATACTGAGTCTAACTCTTGGCCGGGGTGCATCACCTGGCGATCTGGAGTTGTCTCAGTTTTTGCAATACGGTACGAAACCAATTCCGCGTTCCTATCAACAAGAGAGACCATGAATCTGAGTTTTTGTTTTATAGGTTCTGGGGCCGGCAACCGCCAGTTAGTTGAACTGGCGAGAGAGCTGACCGAGACGGTCCATGCGCCTCCATGCGATTACGAATGTCTGCTGCACCCGGGAAATACGAACGCTTGGGCAAAGATTGTCGGCCTTCTTTGTGAAGAAAACGACCTTGTTCTTGTCGAGGAGTTTACCTATCCTTCAGCTCAGGCTCTTTGGATTCCCCTTGGGATTAAGGCCGTGCCCATTCCAGCCGATGCAGATGGTATCTTGGCACAGGATCTCAGGTCAACTCTCCAGAACTGGGATGCGGAGAAGAGAGGCGGCCCTAGACCTAGAGTGTACGTCACTTTTCAGTAACCGCGCTGAAGTCTCGGCTTTGGGATCTGACTAGAAGCAGACTTTATTTGGTTTCTGTGGGATCAAACCCCACCGGTATCACTATCACAGCCCAAAGGCGCAGGGAGATATACGACGTTTGTGTTGAATTTGGTAAGAGCAGACCTCACTATGTGTTATTCGAAAACTCACCGTACGCAGACATCATCATCGTCGAGGATGACCCATACTATTTCTTGCAATTCCCCGGATACCTTACCCCCAAGGAACCCGCATTCCAACGCAAGCCAACAAAGGAATTTCTCAAGAATCTGGTTCCGACGTTCCTGTCAATGGATGTCCAGGGCCGCGTGATACGCCTCGAATCGTTCTCAAAGACGCTGTTCCCAGGACTTCGCATGGGATACTTCGTGGCCAACCCTGTCTTCACTGAACGTCTCCTCCGCGCGACAGAAGTTGAGACACAAGACCCCGCAGGTCTTAGCCAAGCTCTTGTCTTGGGCTTACTCCGACGCTGGGGCATTGATGGCTATCTTACTTGGCTTCAGAGCCTCCAATTTCAGTACCGTGAGAGGAGAGACTGGCTACTTGACGCGTTCCACGCACGCTTTGTCGTTCTCCCTGCCGCGAAGTCACCAGTACCCCAGGCGCAGGGGCTCGTCGCATGTGTAAGGTCTCAGCAAAGTGGAGAGTTGCGACCAGTCTTCAGCTTCGTGGACCCTGGTGCTGGCATGTTCGTCTGGTGCAAGTTCTACTTCGATGGTATTGACGAGTTCATGGATATGGAAAAGTCTGGCGCTAGCAAAGACCCCGAGAAAGATTTTGCGGACGAGCTATGGAAAGCGTGGGCTACCGAGCTCGTACTTCTTACACCGGGATCTTATTATCATGCGTGGCAAGGGCCGGACATGACGACAACAAAGGCACGTGGTGCCGACCCACGAACGGCGCACTTCCGCTTTTCGTTCGCAACACCGACGGTAAGTAAAGACACAGATAACCCAAAATCATTCAAGAGTCATTCTGGATCCCACTTGCTAATGATAATGCCCGCTGTGCAGAAGGAGCAGATCGATACTGGCGTTGAACGCCTGTCAAAGGTCGTAGAGAGGTATTGGCGGTGAACATGCCGCGAGATGGAGAGTCTTTTGGGCTCAGACATTATCTAAATTAAGATTTTTTGCTATTCAGAAGTGTGCAATGAGCAGCGATAGCTCTCGCGTCCATTGCCAATGATGAATTTACCAATGCGTCCTGCCTTATGTGAGAAATATGTGTCGAAAGAAGTGAAACTTGCTCCATCCGAGCCATTCAGGACCTAACACGGACTAGATTGATGTCTGACCCATGTGACATGCGAATCCAACCCGCCTGAATCTTCTTAACAGTCTTCCCAACGAACGATCACATTCCAGTTGTCAGGGTGGAAGGCCTGCCCAGCAAACTTGGGCCGAGTCTGTTGGCACATCGTTTGGATCGCATAGATGCCAGCCGTAATGGAGCTAAAACCACTGAGTTCTCTCGTTTGCGCTCCCTATCACAGATCATCCGTCAATTTACTTCATATTCTGGGAGGAATTGAGATTTTGTGCCCGAGAAAGTTGGGAGACTTACATCATTGCACCACCAAACGGCGACCTGGCGATGATTATAAGTAAGCTAAGAATACCTACAACGCAGACTTTTTGATACGTCTTACCTTGTAACCGCAGCTAACCCTACCACAGTTTGCTGGACCACCGCCATTCTTGGGCCTCCCCCCAATATCGTTCAGATATCGAACGGCACTCATGACCTCAGACGACTTGGCCGGCTTGAAATTGTCGCAGATGACCTTGTCGAGCGGGAACGTTGTCACACCGCGGCTGTGCAATTCTTGTGGACTATTTACCTCTTCCTCCTGTTCTGGGAGATCGTCAATGTTGAAAGATCCCTTGAAGTCCGGGTCGATTTTCTCGATCTGCTGGATGACTTCTTCCGCCGTTCCGTTGAGGCGAAGTGCGTCGCCACTGGGGTGGGCTCTTACTTCCCACTCAGGCACAAAGACATTGTAGCCTGCGATAGGAGCTTCGGTTGCTGCGGTCTAAGGTCTCGTTAGTGTGCGTTTCAAATACGACTAGAATTGCAACGAACCATAATGGCCATCAAGGCCGGCATCAGCAGGGAAAGGTATCTGGTATACATGTTGAACGAGCGTGGTGCTAGAGACTCAAGGCCGGACCTGGGCTGAGCTATTGAATTGTTGGCTGATGGTGAAGTGGGGGAGGAGAGGTTCTGAAGGCGGACAATTTCTTCATAAAGTATTTGGGAGACAGTGTCTAGAAACCGCAGATCCGCTACACCACTGTTGCAATACAATGCAAAAGGACTCCAAGTCTCTCCAAGACATGCCCAGAAAGCACCAAGCCACGGCGAAGTCTTGTGGGCTTCTGTGAAGGGCAAGAAGATCGCAATCTTTGTGTTTGACAAGAAGAAGCAATATTTGAATACGGGTCTGCTTTTGGACGGAAATTATCCAAGCTTCCAAGAGCGAAGCGCCAGCTGCTAGGCGGGGTGGTGGCGATGCCTGAAAGCCCTGGGGAAAAGACCCCTTTAAACCATGCCAATCACCCTATGAACATAAGTTTCTATCTGAAAGAGATTGATAAACTGTCCTGTGGGCTATCGGAGAGGGAAGATCGACAGCGTTGCCCCTAGAATGCGCAAACAGCTAATGAAGTCGCCCGATCGGGTCCTTATCAGGAGCAAGGGGTGGCTTGGCTTTGTAAGTATGTGGGAGTAAGGTATGGCTCTCTCAGCAGATTCGAGTCAATCAGCCGTTCCTTCAACTCATCGAGATTTCCGAAACTCCATCCACTGCTTTCAAACCCCGTAGTTTGTCGAACCACCACCGAAAGAGGTTTCCCTTGCGTGTTTGGTCAACGAAGGGCGTTTTGAGTGCTCATCAGCGCGGAGCCACCGAAAAAAGCACGTGTGTTTTCCAACAAACGTTTCCTAGAGGTACGTGCATTTTGCCTTCAGCAATATTCCATTGAGCATCGATTGTTGTCTTGGACCAACAAACAGCCGACCGGGCCAGATGCCTCGAGAAACGGGGAGTTTTGGCCACCCGACTACCCCTTGCCGGATTGCCAAAGGTTTGATGGCAGAAACACTCAACGGCAGGCAAGCCTCAAAGTCCGAGTGCTTGGCATTGCCAATCCTATCAAACTTCAACAAAAGCTGTTGGCAGAAACATGAGCTCCAACGGGTACCGGGATTGGGATCCACCCGGAGTAGCCGGATATCCTCACCTCGGGCCGATGTCGACTTGCGGCCGTAGATTGATGTACGCGACGGAAAGCGGGATGGCTAGGCACACGGCAAACTACTCAATGACCTTTCGTTAGAACGATTATATGGTCAATTTAGATATCATTAATCAATATGACGGAGCTTCTCTCGTCAATCTGGTTTCTGTTCTATCCCTTTCCGGCTGTCTGCCAAGGTCTCTATTTCGTGTTCTCTGCAGGATCGTTAGCTTCGTATCTCACTGCTGTGACAACATCCAGTTGTATATACGGCCCCTCCACAATCACCGGCAACGAGTATGGCGGCGACGGAACTTCGTATGAGCGCACCGATCGCACAACGGGCATTTCGTGCGCATTGACGTACGACTTTCCCCAAGGTCGCAAACCCCCGTGTCTCCACCACCACCACTCTTTCTTCCCGCCACTGTTCGTAGGCTGGAGCTCCGAGATGGGAACCCTTCTGCTGATTGGTCCTCGAATGATGACTCGGTGCCCGTATTCGCGTATCGGGGTTCGCATGAAGGCGTACCTATCAAGCCCTGTGTCGTGCACATCTTGAGGTGCGCTGAAGATGATCGTTGTCGTCCATAAGATGCAGTTGAAGAGGCCGTTCGCAGCCAGGACGCAGCCAGCGAATGCGAAGTATGGTATACCAAGGTCGATCCCTAATAGAGACGTGATTCGGCCGACGACTAATGGAACGCTACAGCCGATGTAGACGAACGGGTACAGCAAGAATGCCGGATGGTAGCCGGAGAGTTGTCGCTGTCCCGTTTCTTGGGTGTTGCGCTTTTCTGGCAAGTGCCGGCAGCTCCGCTTCTGACGCCATAATGTAAAGAAAACAAACGAGTACAAGAATATCGTGAGGACTATGGATACGATAACCCAAAAGTAGTGAGCCCACAGGCGCCAAGGGTCGTATGCCGTGGAGATCCAACACCTAGTCGCCGTGTGTTAGATGACATGGAGTTACATTATCGGTTCAAAGCTGTGTCTTACCACACATTCGCTCTCATGAAGAAGGACTCTCCAGGTGGTGCAGTTCGTGCAGTGATTCCGACTCCGGCGCCATTGACTACAAAATCAAACGTCCAGAGAACAGCGATCGCAGTGTATACCGCCCATGGCGGCACCTTGTAACCCAGACCAACAGTCAAAAACGTATTGACCGAGATGAGCGACAGGAACAAACTTGCGGCCAAATTACTCGTGGAACCCAACCAGCCTTGAGCCCAGCAAACCGATGATGGGGCAAATATTCCGTCCGCGTAAACCCAGTAGAAGCTTAGCCCGTATGCCAACGCTTCCATCATATCTGCTATCAGCAGATTGTAGACGAGGATCGGAAACGGGTTCCGGGCCTGCACCGCCTCCTCGACTCGTCTTCGTTCCGCCTCGGCATTTCGTTGTTCTTCTTCGGCGGCTAGCCTGTCGAGCTCTTGAAGCCGAGCGAAGCCTTGGGCCCCAGATGCGGGCGCGTCAAGCCCGAGGGTGAGGTCTGGAACTCCGCCAATGACGACATTTGGCCTTCCGTCGTCGGGCTGCTTCTTTTGGGTCAGCCGCTCCTTCAAGAGCTTATACGAAATGAAGAGCCAAAGAATCAACGTTGATAGGAACGAGAGGAATGAAACCGCAGTCAGAATTATGAGTCCACTGCGATGGTTCTCTGGAAGCGGTGCCAGTGTCCCGCGCAGTTGCGCCGCAGTGGACATGATTGAGCTGACATTGAAGCATGTGAAGCGACGCGCGTAAAGATAGGACCATCATGGAAGATATAATCAACTAGGGACTACACGTTGTACATACTTCGCCTTCATGGACGTGAATGTCGTTCGGGTTTGTCCTTCTTTAGGCATTTCACAAAGCTTACTCGATCCTTGGCCCATGCCTTTCACAGAACCGTTTAATGCCCGCGGGGTGAATTCTGCCAGCGAGATCGACAGAATCGATCCCTTTCGAGCCTACATAGGCGCATATAGAAGGGGAAGAAAAAACTCTGTTGATCGTGAACCAATGAGTAGAAGGTCGTGCCGACAAAACTCTAACACCAGTTGCTTCGCGACTGAAGTCAAAGTCGCGTGCCTTTCCGCTTTCTAGTTCGTCACCTCGTATGCTTCGGGCGATCAAGGTTGCTAATGGCGAAATATGTTCCAGTTGAATGGCGGATCGCATGTGTTTCATACCATCTCACCTGCAAGCATTGACCGCGTTGGCCATTGCAGACGACATGGACACACGTGGTTCAGATTGCTGAGAGAACTTCCACGGAGCCCCCAGCTCTCCGGCCGGCTCGGATTCTACAGCTGCTTCTACTGGCTTCAGCTCGTAGTAATAGACTTCAGCCTGACTAGCAAGCCAACACGCTCGTAGGGCGATCAACCGCTCAGGCCTTTCTGGCCCTGGCTTCGTCGCAGCTTTTCGTTATCGGGGAGATGCGGGGAACTGGCCCGTTCTCTGGTTGTGTCCAGGTTGACCTTCCAGTCCGGATCGAGGCCCGAATCAGCCCAGCGAATCATTGGACTTAGCGAAAACTAGGAGTCTCACAGTTCAACCTAGAGGCCCACGCTGATAGACTTGATGTTTTCAATTCAACGACGGAGCCGAAGGAATCCGACAGGCAGAGACAGTTGCGATACCTCCGAGCAAGTCATGTGCTGTTCATCCTGATGAATGCCAATTCTTTTGAAAAGCCGCATTGCCAAGTTCCGGCACCATGGTCTCTTCCATGCCACGGATGATGTTGCGAGATTCTCGGGTGCCACGGTCCCGGGCAGCCAGGAGCGCATTGGCAGCTGGCGCGCCCGACTTACTAAAATGAACGAGAGGGGAAAGCAATCGAATGCGGTACCGAACTTCCTTTAAGGCATGACATCGTCTTGGTATGGATTCCTTTCACTCGGCATCTTCCGACGGATAAGTAGCCTGCGCGGCGTTTATCAGACTGCCTGACTGCTTCAACGTCGCCGAGGAATGGCCGGGAGTGAAGAGCAGGGTCCTGGCGTCAATTTGGGCTAATTACTCTTTTAACCCAACTAGAAAGCCAGCACAAGCGATGGTCCCGAGACAGAGTTAACCCGTGCCCGGTGGGTTGGGCAGATCAGAGAACAACGACATCGCACGGGACGAAGAAAGCAGAAATATCCTACTTTTGTTGAGACGAAGAGCTTTGGAATCGATCAATTGGAACCTAGCTTCTTGTTCATTCCTAGATCTCAAAAGGCTAGTCGATGGTCACAGACCCGGCATAGAAAGTACCCTCGTTGAGAGCCTAATATGAGCCCTTACGAGATATCGCAACGCAGTATGGAGCTACTCGTGCCCCCCGATGCTACGGGGCGCAGACCTTAACGATGATATTCGACTCACATGCTCTCGATCTTCGGCGTTTTCAAAGAAAGCCGCTCGCATGCAGCTCGCATGCACGATGAAACTCAAGTCAAGCTGGCAGATGAACCTCGGCACAGAATAGTCATGTTTCAAACCTCCCGGCTGATGTTGCCGCACGGCCCGTCGAAACACGAGTCGAACAGCCCAGATCGAGTAAGTCTGTTCCGAACAAACTTGCTCTTTGAATGAACCTCATTATTGAGATACGTCGCGAGAATGGATCCGATTACGATTATCACTGCGGCAGCGTCACTGGCGGGCGCCGTCTTGACGGCGTCTCTGAAGATCAAAAACACCTTGGACCACTTGGATAACGCGCCACAGAATGTTTGCGATATCGCCGAGGAGATTTACGCGGTTCAGTACGCGCTCAGTCAAGTTGAGGATGTGGTCCGTCGGGATCCCAATGTGATTGATCGACTCGCTCTCGAGGACGTGTTCGCCTTAGCCGTCAAGGGGTGTCATGCGACATTATTGCTCATCCACAAGGAGTATGAGCAGCTGTTCGCCAAGAGCGATTGGAAGACAAAGATTCTGGTATTGTGGAAAGATGGAGAGATGACCCGACTTCTCGGGCGACTTGACAGGAAGAAGGCTACACTCACCTTGCTCACGCAAACGCTCAACTTGTGGGTCCTATCTTGAACGGTCCTTTTGCGCATACATTAAAGCTCCAGTTTAGCTGACACATTCACGCAGACGTTCTACGCAAGACATCAAGGACCTGCTCATCCAAAACCAATCCACGCTGGTTGCAGCGAGACAAGACAGCTTCGAGACTGTCCCCATCAATACAGGCCCTGGAGCGAAAGCTGCCGACCCCCTTGAGGAGGACCAGCTTGACAGCGTTTACGGTGATAATGAGTCGATACTGAGCACCACCGAGTTTGACTTCGATTTTGACTTGATCAACACGAAGACCTACAGGCGGGCACTTGCAAGAGCACAAGCTGCCAGCAGGACACCCAAGTCCGCACCAATGAATGTGGACAAGCCACTTCCGGAGCTTGTTGAGGAGGCTTCGCCTGCATCTCTGGAACCTGTTGCAGAGGAAAAGTTAGATGACGTCACAGAATCAATCAGCCTATCTGGAGAGACTCTTGCATCCCAGTACACACTGAGCAGGGCAACTACTCTGCTGCCGGAGTATGAGGCAGTCGAGAGCAGCACTCTTAGTCCAGTATCCTCGATAACCTCGGCTGAAAAGCAAGTTCAGTCCGAGACCAACTTGGGCCACGCGCAAAACCAGGTTCCAGCTCCACAATCTACGTCAGAAATTTCATTGGCGTCTGAAACGTCGAAAGATGAGAAAGACCCTAAACGGTTGAGAGGGAAGATTCATAGACATGCTTCCAAAGGGCGACTACATCAAGTCGACGGAGATGAGAAGCCTCACAGAAGGAGACCTCACGGAAGACCTCCTTTCCTGAAAGCTATCGAAGATTCTTCTCCGTTTGCTTCATCTCAATCGCTCCCCTCCGAGGTTACAGCCAAGCCAGAAGATGCGGCTAGCAATGAACAGGACGGTAAACGGGACAAAATCAGACAGCGGCACAAGTGCGGTCGTAGAGCTGAAATCCGGCAGCGGCATCAAAAGGGGGTTGAGGAGGCCATCGGGAAGGTGGAAGATACAATGCGTCAGCTTAGCCTTGCTGATTCCCCGTCTCTCAGAAGAGAGAGAGGTCGTCGACGACAGGCTGCCTAATTCTGTGGACTGAGATGAAAGGGGGAGAAACAGGACCACCAAGACTGTAAACGCCACAATATGATGCAATCAGCTACCATTTTTTACCTGGCAACACGCGCATCAATCATGCCTACCCTATCTAATAGAGAGGGCTTGCAATCTTTTGTTCATCATACGTCACCTACGCTGTCAGGTTGTAGGTGGATTGAGTAGAATGGAGGTAATATGTCGCCTTTGTAATCTCCTAGTCACTGAAGATGGTTTGTAAAATGAAGATGAAAAAGGAAAGAATTACGGTGGAAGTGATGGCAAGATCGCTGGCATGACGTGAACATAATGATGAGATTGGCTCACTATTTGGAGCCTACAGCATCATGCTTACATGCCTTTTGAAGTCGCAGCATCGTTCCCGCACGTCAGCTCCAGGCGTTTCCTCGAGGATCGACTGCTGCTTGCGTACTACTTATCCATTATTCATCCATACCTGCTGGTCAACCATCTTCTGCAACCATGATAATGGCTCTATGTTGGACATGTTCCTGGCTTTTAAACAACAATTCCTATTGAAATGCTACTTCACACAGCTTGTAACTGTGAGATCAGCGAGCACGCATTCAAGAGAGGAGAGGACCTGGAAAATGATGGCGGCCGGGATGGTCAAATATGATCCATGGATTGCGAGAGCTTTATTTGACATCTCCTTACTGACCGTCGCATGAAATGTCAATGAACAAGTCCAGTAGCCTCAGTGTGGCATTCAAGAATCGAGATCCGACGAGAAGGACGCGCTAAGAAATGTCTCCATCCCCAGAAAGGGTCTATCCCGAACGGGCATAAGGTTGACATGAGCGCGTGTGCCGCAACCTCAAGGCAGTCTTGGCGCGGCGCAAAGATCCCTTAGACGCGATTCAAAGGTCCCAGACGTTGGGCTAAGCCGGGGCCTGGGGCGGGTGCATGATGGCGCGCGAAGCCATTTCGAGACCCAATGTCCGGGGCTGGAACAGGGCCTTCCCCGGCGAGCCTGCCCCTTGCGGCTTGAACTCACAGGCCGTAGTCAGAACCTAAGATATGGTCAACCAATGTTTTGTCCAGTCCAGTGGTGACTGAGCAATAGGCTACAGGCACGCTTGCGGCAAGATTGGTTGTGGCTTTCAGGATACATGGAATGAGTGGTAGGACGGCTCTCCACTGTGCCAATCCAGCGGCGCATTGATATCCGTCCTCACCTGTCGCCGGAGTTAAGGTTGTGCAACGGCATACTGCGCAGATAGGTTGGCGGCACCTCTGGGGTTTCGACATATTTTCGAGGAGGGTAATGTTAAAGGAAGTCTCTGATATCATCCGCATGTGAATATGTCCTAGGTAGGCTGAACTCCATGTCGTGAGATTTGTTAGACGTATTGGCAACACTTGCATCTTCATTGAATTACATGCTGAAAAGAGTCGCATCAATCATACATCGACAGAACCATTCTTGTTTGCTAGAGAGAAGTTTTGTAGCTCCAATTCCAGTCGCTACTTCTGCAAACTGGAGGCTACCATTGGTTACTGATGTAACCAATGTGTTAGTAGACTTTGAGCACGAAGTTGACGAGACGGGCGTGGAAAGCCGGATGTATATCGTCGGCGCTGTGCTATCGTGCTGTCTAGTTTGTGTCCGCTAGCCTCAGGTGCATCCTGGACGCCACATGGACAATTGGCGGGCAGATCGAGGTTTGGCAGGGGTAGGTTGCGACAGTTTGCCCGACGTCCTACAAAGGTGCACGCCGTGATCGCAAAAGTGCTAACAATACCTTTGCTGACAGATAATAAATGCCCATTGGCCGCAGAGATGGACGAATTGCTGACTGCCTTAGGTGCGTCAGGGATTATAGAACAGTCAGACGGACAGATCCTGTGCCGCGTTCTGCGTTGCATTGAGGCAGCAGCTAGAACTCTTTGCCCAAGGGCCCTTTGCATCGCTTCCTTCGTCCGTCGCTGTATGTGCCTGCGATCTCAACTTCTGAAGACATGCTAGTCCCCACAAAACGCCTCTCTCTTTGCGATGTTGGCGTAGACGCGTCTTATCTTGACTCTGTGTGTCAAAAAGTGACCGATGTGAGTGATGACAATGACCGAACGTATTCACGTGGCAGCGAGATCCTCTAGTGTATTCAAAAAACGATGAACACCCGAGCTCCAAAAGGTCCTCGGCTGGCAAGCAGTCAGAAAAACACGAAGATTTTTGCGCTCAATGGTCGATTGAAGTCTTGGCGGCTCCGCATAGAAGGTGGTTGAACGATGGAAAAGACGGGGGTCTTTACCCTAAATGAGACCTATCCCATAGTGATGGCCAGGCTGGTCCTGGCTGAAGGCCGAGGGTCTGCAAGATGCTAAGCCGGGAGCGGCAGCTGGGAGGTGGAGAGGCTACTGCGGGGATACATGCGGTTTAGACTTGGTAATTGCTTAAATTGACACACAGAATGGTTTGAATGGGATGTTCGTTAGCGAGATCAGCCAGTGGTTCAATGTTGCAGTACTGTTGTCACGAGGATGAAGCTGTTGTTACTTTGGACATTGGCAACACGGATAATGCGCAAGCAACACCCGTTTTCCTCGCCTAACACCGGCTTCACGCGGGTTATGATGCATAAAGTAAGCATAAAACCGCGGCTCAGGTAGCGTTGGGACACTTCGCCGCAGGAGGGAGCATTGAAGTCGAAAATGAATAGGGGTCCGTACCACGCCCACATTTTCCCCAATTTGCAGCAGCAAAAACAAACCTCAGAGCCTTCGGGACCCGACTGTTCCCCAAGTCCTAGAGCACAAAATCTGCTCCAATGGAGACCCCTGCGGCCCAATATCGGGCGGTCCTTTTGTAGCGCGTCTCGTTTTCCGCGACGAATGGCATGATGATCAGGACCGCCGCTCTGCCAAGACAACTCGCGAAACGTTGAGAGGCGTTTTGTCCAGTTGCGAAGAATCCACGAGTCATCTTGCGTGCTGTTATCGCGACGCCAAAGAGGGCCGAAAGGCTGTCATCCCAAACATAGAAGATTTACTATGTTCGGCGCTGTCGATTCTGAGTCGAATGTCATCCCACCGCTGGACGATGCACAAATGTTCCGCACATTGGCCTCATGGTGGGGGAAGCCGCAAAAAAAAGTACCGATGCTGGTTTCTTGGCTAGACCTGAACCCCGGCAGCCAAGATGCTGTCGGTAGCAACCGGCTCGGCGATGGCAGCTCGCCCACTCAGCTTAGTGAGCTGAAAGTCAGCTTCCGCCTGAGGTCTCTTCGCATCGTGAATGCAAGGGTTTCTTCCACTTCTCCTCCGGCCCCCGGGGAGCGGCGAACACCTCTGCACCGAGCTTGGTCCTGTTGGTGATCTCTCCACCCCTGGCATCGTCTCCGACCTGGCCACCACAAGTGGCGTCTCGTTTACCAATTTGTTCTTAATGAATGGAATGGCGTCTGTAGCGGCTGTCACGCGAACTGCGGGTGGCTCGACCGAAGAAAGCTTAGCATTCGAGTTTCAATCAGCCAGCCTTCATCCAACCTCGTCGATCAACCCAACAAGCCAGTCGAGTCGCCGCCGTTCGCAATGAACACCGTGGGATTGCCCTTCTAGAACGCCACGAGAAACGTTACAAGCCCATCCAGAGCCAACAGGATGTTGTTCCCTGGTGACCCTGCAAGGCGTCGGACAAGCTTCGCTTGGCCATTTGGTGACAGGATGCTCTGGAACCCGGGGACTCCACGAGCTGATAACGACCTGCCTATTCAAGCATTGAAGTGCAGTTGAGGCTTACTGCGTCGGCCAAAGGTGCCCGTCCTTTCGGTCGATGCCTCAAGATGGTAGGGGTCGACGCGATGAGCACGGAGGCGAGACGAACGCTCTACACCATCCTCGATTCAAGTCGCCGGATCCAGCGCGGATGGGCAAGCAGTATCCTCCCGACCTACGTTAACAGAGCTCGTCGCAAACTGACACATCATGAAGTTTGTGCGCCCCCGAGGTAGACTTCACTGCATGTCTCCCGCCCAACAAACGCACCGCTTCTTATCTGCCATGCACCCACCCTGCACGACGTTCCCCGGAGGCCATCCCACCCTTCGGAGAGACAGGGATGGCTAGCTGATGCCTCGCCCGGGGGTCCTTTTGCTCGACGCTCGTGCCACCTGGACTCCGACTCGACGATCCCCTCCGCTGGCTGGCCAGCCAGTGGGTGAACCGAACCCTCCCATATCGCTGGGTCTTCTGTTCTGGGCGCAGCAGGGGGGCGGCATCACGCATGTAGGTCCGCCGCGCGGGTGCGACCTTGGGGGAGAAACGGGGAAAAGCAAAGAACGGGCTACTGCAACCATGTGCCCGGTCATCTAGGATATATATCAACTTTCCCATCCAGCTTCTCCTGTGTCCCTCTCTGCTCTCTCACCCCGCCTTCTGCGTTTCGCAATCACTACCCCGCGCAGGGACTCTGTATTCAGTCTTCACACAGAGGTTGGTGACATACCAGCCAGTCCACGCAACCATGGCTGAAGAAAAGGTCGCCCCGGTGACGGTCAATGGCACCGAGCCTCGCCCGTCCTACACCGGCAGCGCCGTTCATCCAGATGAGAAGGGCGCCATGGGCGGCGAGTGGACCGAGCCCGTCGTCGACACCAAGGTCCCCGAGACCGAGGACGTCAAGGGCGAGGAGGACCTCTACCGCCCTCTCCTGATGGACCCCAATATTCCGCACGAGGAGAGCATTCTGACAGTACGAGCCGTCGTTGTGGGCTGCATTCTCGGCTCTCTGGTCAATGCCTCCAACCTGTATCTTGGTACGTTGACAGCTGTGCCTCAACATCTATGCAGGACACTAATGATAGTTTAGGACTGAAAACCGGGTTTACGTTTATCGCGTCAATGTTCGGCGCCATCTTTGGCTACGGAGTGATCAAGATGATCTCCAAGTCCAACCTGCCCGTTCTTGGAGGCCCCTTTGGTCCCCAGGAGAACAGCATCGTCCAGGCAGCCGCTACCGGTGCTGGAGG